TGGGACGGAACCATCTAGGCGGTTCCGTCTCCCTGCGGCGGGGGGGGGCGGTCCGGAAGTCCATCCTTAGGAGCGAATGGTCTGACCATGACAAGGGCTCAACGACTATTTCCCCTACTGTCAGATCATTCTGCCACTGGCCAGAGACAAAAATTAGATCCAGCGTGTGTCCACCCGTGTGGGTGGGGGCATTAATTAAGTATTGCCTGTTCACCGCCCTGAGTCCCGCAAGGGAGATAGGGCGGTATATAAATTTAATAAATAATAATAATAATAATAATAATAATAATAATAATAATAATAATAATAATAATAATAATAATAATAATAATAATAACAACAACAACAACAACAGTACTCTCAAGTTTAAGCCTGGCTTGCATATTTCCTTGCAGTTTCTGTCTATAAAAGCCACATTCAGGGAAATCCATACTTTCCTATCTTGATATATTAGGATTGAAAGAAAAGAGCTGATCTGCTTGACAAGAATGTCTTAGCATCCTGTGTTTTGCCTGTCCGATACTAAGAATCCCACAGTCCTCCTGACAGACAGGCCAAATAGTAGGCAGACATAAGAGACACAGTGTAAATGTACAAATTAAGGGGGGGGGATTTATACAGTTGCCAGCATCTCAGAAAATAAGCATAGTAAAAAAAAAAACCACGGCCATCAAATAAGGAAAATCTGAGGGACAGCCATCAGTGGTCTCTGGGCCTCAAAACTCTTCTACAGATCTTAAAAGTCCACAGATGAGGTTCTGCATGGCAGAAACAGCATGAAGGAGGTACCTGCTCAGCTTGTGAAACTGGGATGAAAATTGGAGACCCCAATGCAGCTGCAGGAACAAGTACATGTCTTGCTCCGCCCCTTCTGACATGAATGTCTCACCTTCTGGTGCTCTTCTGCCGCTGCCGTTTTCTGTTGCTGGATCTCTGCTGCCAGTTGCTCCTGCAGTCCCTGGAGAGCCTGCCAAAGTATCAAGGAGGCAGCTTGTAACTAAGTCCATTTATAGCTTTCAAATTTGGAGACAGGCAGATATCCCTGATCTATCTCCATAAATATTTTCACAGCTGTTTTGTATGACCAGTGGTCCACAAATGTCTTCCTGACTTGTGTCCCAATCTACCTGTTGAATATATCTCCTTAATTTTCCTTACTAGGCAAGCATTTCACGGTTACAAGCAGGGATGGGAAATTGGTTTTGCACTGACAGCCAAATTCTTTTTGCAATAATAGTAAAACCAGAACTAGACAGAACTCGCCCAATATCATGCAGCAAGTTCCATCCGATGTTAACACCTGAACGTGGATCTGCCCATCGTGGCCCAAACTTCTAATACTGTAAGAGACTGCTTTTCTATCACTGCTAAACTTTCTGAAGGAGTTTGACCCTGATGAGTATCAGCTCACTGAATTAATTTCTTCATGGACACATTTTCCAAGAATGATTCCCCCTTTTGAGACCCTGTAATGTGACAGTTTTCACAGGGTCCACATGTCCCATTGGAGCACTGTTCCCAGGCAACTCCAATCTTACCCCAGGGAGCTTCTTCTTGTTGCCCAGCACCTGGGAAGGGTGAAGGGGTGCATTCTCAATCTGTAACCCAGAGCTCCTCACCAGTTCCTTTTCTCTGCACAACTTCTCCCTCAGTTCATTCAAGGCCCTCTGGTTCTCCTGCTCCAGCACCATCTGTTCAGCCTGCTCAGCCATTTCAGCCTCTTTTTTTATCCGTTCCAGAGAAAGCCACTTGTGCTCTTCGAGCTTTTCTCTCTCCCGTTGCTGAAAGGACTCTAGCTCCTCTTTCAGCCGGGTCAATGCAGTTTCCTGTGCCAGCCTGGAAGGAAGCGACAGAGAGATAAGCAAGAAGGCTTTTCTAAGCTTTCTCCAGAGAGCCTTTGCAGGCAGCAAGCCGAGCTCCTTGGGATGCCTTGGTCACAGAAACCCCGCTTTGCATCAACATTTTGATCAGGGTGATCATAGGGCCAAGGAAACCGCAAATTGGAATTCATGGGCAGAGAATCTAGAATTCTGTCACCAGAAAATAGCATGCAAAGTTGCCAAAATTTTCAGCAACATTATTTTTCTTCTTCTTGGTAATGGTGGGAGAGCTTCTGTAGAGGGGAAAGGATTTTATAACAGACCTCTGGGACCAAGTCATGTATAGCTATGAGCTCTTCCAGTTGTACAGAGTTTCAGGGAGAAAGCCTCACAACTCGTCCGCTGAGTTTCCCAAGGAACTTCCAGCATCAACTAGTAGAGGAAGGTGTACACAGAGCACAAGGCCAGAGACCAAGGACAACTAGCAGCTGGCAGGGAAGGTTGATCAGGGAAATACCATCCTGCTTTGCTCAGCTCTTTATCAGTTAGCAGGGTGTAATTCAAGGTGCCAGTTATCAACTATACAGGCCTACCTAGCACAGGGCCAAGTTATCAGTGGAACTGCCGGACTGTTCCTGCTTGCCCTACCAGATTTTATTTTATTTATTTGTTTGGATTTTTATCCCGCCCCTCTCCTTACGGACTCAGGGCGGCTGACAGCCTGGTAAAACAAATACAGAGATAAAGATACCCACTTTAAAACCTAATTAAAATGAAATATTTGATGTGGCCTGTGTCAATTTAAAATTATTCTTAAAACCCCACTAAAAATTCCCCCTAGGCCAGTCCTGCTTGTTGGAATAGCCATGTCTTAAGGGCGCGGCGGAAGG